CTCCTCTGATAATTCACTATTGTTGAAAAGTAGCTTTATAGTGGGAAACTTTAGAGAGCTGTTTGTAGGCAGCTGGGACTGAATTTACAGACTACCTTTCTCTGACTTGCTAAAAAGCTAAGGATTGACAACCCCTTTCATCCTGCATTATCCAGTGTAGCTTTTAACTCCAAGAAAACTATGTTCACAAATTGATGCTCTGCTCCTCTGGGGTTGGTGCAGGAACATTAAATTGTACTAAAATATTCATATGTGAGTGCATTTAGCTGAAAGCAATTGATGTGCTTTTCCCTAGAGAGAAAAAAAATTGCTGTATGGCCCTGCACTCCAGCAGACACCCTAACCACGCTTAAGAGTAATTACATAGCTTGGCTGATCAAAGGTTCTTAAAGTGAAAAAGAAGCTGTAGTTGGGATATAGTTTAGTAATGTGTGCTTCTTGAATGGAACATAGTCAGCTGCATCGAAGTAGTACATACTGGGTAATTGTTTGATATACAGTGTAATATATATGAACTAGTGTCAAGCCAGAAAATACTTTATTAGGTTAATAGCTTGTAATTGGAAAGAATCTCTTGTATGAAGTGATTTTCATTGCAAAGATTTCTTTCTAATTTCATTGTCCTTTCACTCTTGCAAATAAAATAAAATATCTGAGCTGCCTTTAAAAAGAGTAGACGTGCCAAAGGGGTTTATTAAACTAGCCTGTTTAAAAGCATGCCACTGGTAGGATGATAAATTGATGTACACTGAAGGTTTTCAGCGTAATTCAAAAATTGGCATAAAAATCAATAGAAGCTGATGGCATGCTTGCAAAGTAACTACCTCATCTTGTGTTGCACCTGTGGATGCACAGTAGTCTCTTACAGTGACTTTTTGAATGCTGCTGTAAGTTGCAACTAAAAACTCTTCTTGTGGTTCTCTTTAAGCAAATGTATCTTAATTGCCCCAAGGCAGCCTAAGACATTTTAAAATATTCTCATAAGTGAAAATGAAGTAAGATTATATGCCACAAATTAGTCTATAAATAATTGGAAGAGTCAGTATGCACAGGAAAATAACTGCATTGGTATATTGGTAATTATAATCATCTACATATAGCACTCTTGTGACGTTTATGCAAACATCATGTAACTGGATATATGGATTCTGGAGCCAGTTATGCAAATTTGTGCATGTGAAGTCTCATGGACTTGCTGTAGATGCTAATATGTAAGTTGGGTACATTTAAAGCAGAAATAGGAGTTTAGGGGATGGCTGAGGGGGATTTTTTCATTTTAATGATCAGCATACAATGACTCTCTCTATAAGACATACCATGGTCATGTTTGTCGAAAAAACAATACAAGGCTAGATTAATACTTTAAATAGCAAATGAGAAGTTGGATTCATGACTTGGAATCTTGCCTTACAAATTTGGGACTTGAAGTTTTGTTTCTTTTTAGGGTTGTTGTGATGCAGATCTGTGCTTATAAACTTTGAGGTTTCTGTCAGGGTCCTGGCTCCCACTGGAGTCTTGTGGGATATTGTGTGGCAGGACAAATTAAAACACTCTTGACCTTTGTGCCAGTTTGCTGGCCAAATCAGCTTTGGCTGCTGCTGTACCCCTTGTGAGAAGCCTAATGGGTATGTTATGTGCTGATGCTCCCACCTTCACATGTTCCCATTACTGACATACCAAGCCCTTTGTGCAATAGCACATATTTAATTTAAGTACTTCCTGACTGTGCCTCCTTGCCCTCCTCTTTGTATGCTCTTAGGCTATTCGGCCCATTCAACTTCCTGTGCTGCCTGTTTCCTCCGTTGTGCTCTTTCTGACCATCAGCTCTCTTCTCTGGTGTCCCTTCTCCTGTGCTGATGTCTGCTATTCACTTCATAAAAAAAGAAAGATTTGTGGCACAGCTGTGACATACGTTCAGTAATTATTTCCTGTGTGAAATTAAGTTACTGTGAGGCAAGACAATTGTCTAATCTGATGCCATGCCCTTATACCACCAAAACTTTCGCTTTCCTTAACTTTAATTGCTTTTGGGACTTCATTTGTATCAGGCAGTGCAGTGAGCCCCTTGGTACAGAACCTGTGTGCTGTTTTGTATGCTGTTCTCATGTGGCACAGCGCTGGCAGCAGCCCTTCAGTGAAAACCTGCCTGTGCACAAGCACCAGGGAGTTGATAAATGCCACTCCATGTCCTGGACTTTGACATAAGTGCCTGTAATTGTAGGCTGTGGATCAGCTACATGACAGCAGCTTCCAGGGATCCAAAAAGCAGGAACTTGAAGTTGGCATAAAGCCATCCTTGTTGGCACCTGAGAGGTGCGATCCAGACTCTGATTTATGCCGTTTTGTGCCTTGGCGTGGGTCTCCTGCGTAGATGAGCTCTGCAGAACTTAGATCTCCTTCCAGACCTTAATGTGCTCTCTGTTGCGATGGCAGGCATGTCGCATAACACAATTGGAAGCAATGCTGCTCTGTGGTGCTGAGCTGCTTTCTGTTTTCCTCCCTCACTTACTTTGTAGTGCTTGGGGTTACAGTCCTGACTTTGGACTTTGAACGCTAACACAGTAGAAATGATAGGACTCAGCAAAAGCCATGACAGAAGTTAATGATTTCAGGGAAAATATTAAAACAAGGGTATTATGCTGAAAATAACTTAGAGATCTGAATTTCTGAGTCTTCTATGATCTCTCTGGATGACCAGTTGAATCCTTCCCTTGGAGAGCACTGAACAGTCCTGAATCTTTATCATTCAGACCTTGTGGGTCCTTTGTGTCCCTCCTACTAAATTGTAGAATAGATTTCAACTAAGATATAAGCAGTCAAATCTATTTTACAGTATGGAACTATTAATAAGAAACATGCTGTCCTATGTGTTCTTTGTATGGAAACATTGCTGAGGTGATCTACTGTAAGTGTTACAGCCTGCTGAATGGACCAGTTATCATAGCCAGAGAGCCAAAAGCATGTAACCTAGAAGGGCATGGCTTAGATGCATAATAAAGGCTTTTTAGACAAGCCTGGTGATTTACAAATGTCCTTTTAATGAAACATCCTTGTCTCCTAGATATTTTAATAGAATATATTCATAGGCAGCTGGCTCCTGGTTAGCTGGATTCTTTCCAAACACTGAACTTCACAATGTTAAACAGACTGATAAGAGTATCTGGTAGTCTAGATGACTGGCACTTAATGAATTGCTCTAAAAAAAAAATCATTACAGTAATGCGTTTGTAAAAAGAGATTGTATTAAAGACTATATGATGTTAGAATAATTTCTCCTTTAACATCTGTTCTTCTATTTGGTATAATTAAAATATTGCATTTTTACCATGAGTTCTTATATGGACATACTGTATTACATTGCAGCTGTGGTTAAAATGGATTGACCTCCAATAGTAATCTACTCAGTAAAAGCTGTTGAGGCAAAGAAATTTCTGAGTGTCTTCAACAGCTGTGTGTTTTTGTGGGAACGCATAGACTACATTGTGTTTCACTTTCAAAGCAAGCCTTTTTAATAGGAAATACTTTGTTCCTGCTCTGTTTTCCCTCTCCTTCAATTTTTACAGGAGATAGCTTTTGTAGAAAAGTGTAGAAAAGCTTCATAAATTCTATTTATTCCTATTTAAAACCCCATGTAATAGGTGAAATCTGTAGCTGTAGAAATATCAGAAAGCAATCATCTTTTTTTCTTTAATTGATATAATGACTATCAGGCCTGTATGGAAAAAGCAGTCTGCGTGGCCTCTGTCTGTGCACACCTTCATTTGCCAGCCTCTTCTGTAGGTCTGTGCCTGCTCCACAGCTGTGCTTTGTTCTGTCATGTTAAAAGCCACTTAACTGTAATGCATATCTTCAGTTACACAGGGAAAAGGTTTTTTGACCCTCTTACCCTCCCTGGCCCCCAAAATAATTTCTTGAATTAGATTTGTATGTTCTTAAGTATGGACTAACCTTGGAAATTCTGTTAGTATTTGAGGTTGTGTCTTTCTAAGCATGTATAAATACCACCTTTTAATTGGTTTTGTCAGACAATCCCCTAACTAGTCTTGTGTGTTACAGTTTCCTCTTATCGAATGAGTTGGTGAAAAGTGCTTTCTTTTGTTTTTTCTTCTGTAAAATTAGGTAGCTAAACAGTACAGGTTTGACTGCTGCTTGGACTTGCGGTGGTGGGAAAACTGCCATGGAGCTGAAAATATACTTGGTTTTGGATAGATTATAGCCTGGATGACTTTCAGCCTGAGGGAAAAAAGTACTTTTCTGCTGTGAATTAAAACTGTCGATATATATCTACTTGCCTATAAATTTTCATCTATTTTGAATGTAAGTCTCTTTGGAGATGCTAGATTGGGAGCCCCAAAGTGTAAAGATCTACTGCATGTTGGTGCTTACCTGGGAAGCACTTTACTCATCCTACATAGGAGGTGATAGTGAATGGGGGAAGAAAAGCTTTAGGGCATATGAATGTTGAAGGTTGGGGTATATAATAGAAACTATCACTATGAGCATATAGTGCACCAGCCCACTTCAGTATCTGAAATGTTTTATCCTGCCATATAGGAGACTTTTTAAAGGTTTAAACACCTGAATTTCAGCTTTGTGCATTCTTTCTTATTTAAAGGATCCTAGAAGCTTCAAACAAAAAAGCTTAGGTTTTCTCTTTAGGCAACTGCATTATCCATTTGTAGGTTATCTTGCTTAATATGTGCGTTGGGAATCTCCAGGGTCATGGGTAACACTGATTGCCCTGTCCTCTGGCTGAGCAGTGTCTTACATCTGATGCAGAGCTAGCTTCCCCCTGCCCCTTCTCATCTGTCTTTCCAGATGCTCCTTCAGGATTCTCCTTTTACAGTTCCATTGCATCCCCAAGTGGGGAAGGGAACCAATATTGAAAATTACTGTAACGTAAAAACTACTGCATGTAATTGATTTTGAGTAAGGTTTGTGAGAGCTTACTGAAACTGTGCCGTGGGTACCAAAAATGTCTCATTTTTGTTATTTTCTAGGAACTTTATATTGCCGTGGGAATATCTGGAGCAATTCAACACTTGGCTGGAATGAAGGACAGCAAGGTATATAAAGATGGATGTGCTAGAAAAGATTTTTGAGGGAGGAAATGAGTTGACTTCCTTGCTTTTACATCAGTACTTTAACCAGTTTTCCAATTTTTTTTAATGTTAAAATTGCTGGTTTGTCTACTTGTTGAAAACATGCTAGCCCTCTAAGCCTTGCCAAAAATGATACTGTGGCAAAACATCTAAGACAGTAGAAAAAAACAATTGCACTACCACCCAAAGTGGTAAGTAGGAGCAGCTAATTGACTTTGCTAATTAAAAAAAAAAAACACCAAACAAAAAAAGCCCCAAAACCACAGATGCCTGAATTCTATACAATAGTTCATTTGCGTTTATTTCAGAGTATGACATATTAATTCATGCATAACAATGTGCAATTTGAATTATGAACTTACTATCCATAAAGTAAAAGATGTCTCTGACATTCCTGCATTTAGCCATTCAAATGGAAACCTAGTATAAAACGGCAGTAAAACTTTAAAAGGTTTAACTCATTAGTTGCCAAAGCAAATAATCCAAAATTGGAATTGTCAGTGTGGTCCACAGTGCAGTGTTTGGAAAGAGGAGCAGAATTACCTGCTGAATCGTACTATCCAATGCCAAACATCAAAACCTGTAGGTTGTCCTGCTTCCCTGCAAGTAATTTTAGAAGAAGGATATATATATTTTTTTCTATTTCCAGGGAATGAACTTAGGCTTTCTGGCAGAAACCAAACCCAGCACTTTGAATAGCTTATAAAACCGAGGAAGAGGTTTGCAAAACTTTACAGGCAGATCCTTGTGTTTAACCAATGACAGACTAGGGAGTTTATGTGACTGGTAATTGTCCTCACAAGCCAGCCTGTGTGGTAGGATGATCTGTGCTTTCTTACAATTTAGTTCTTTTTGCATATGTTATTTAAATATTTCGGGGGGAGAGGGGGGGAATCATGTAAACTGGATTGGGGATACAGCACCCTTTTTGGGGCCTCAGTCTTCTAAAATCGAGTGCTCTAATGGTGTTAGCATTAGTCGACATAGTGGAGAAAAGTCAACCAAAATTAGAAATTAAGGATGAATGATGGGCAGGGATGAAGGTTACTATTGAGAAGCGTGAATAATAGTATCTGTAGCAGTGTATTCTCACTGGTCTTAGTGGAACAGAGTTGCTGTAGTCTCCTCTACTCGCAGTGCAGCAACAGGGAGACAACAGGGACAGTCAGGCAGCGGGAGAGTCTGCAAGAGCAGCACTGATGCAGTACTGCCACCGTCGTCCTTGGCTCCCTCTGGACTCTGCTAGCAGCTGATGGGCCACAGTATTAAGACTGTCTTTGTTTCAAGGCGTTCAGTCTCCAACTGTGCTTTTGCGTGAGGAAGAAGATGGGCAGGTGGGATTAGTATCAGCCATTGACTGAGAACTGTGTATTTAAAGCTGCTTAAAACTTGATCTGACCCTGTTTGTATTTATCTCCTGCTTTATCTCAGTTAAGACTACCAGCAATACTGGGAACCTATTACTTTTAAGTGCCACAATTTCCTTTGATATAAAAATATTGAGCAGCAATATTGTCCTGTACTGTAACAGCAAAACCTCTGCTTTTTTGGCTTTTCCAGTGTCATGTTTGGTGTTTTGAGATGTTCTTTTATAGGAAATAAGGACAGATGAAATTTGTCGATACGAGATGCATACTTAATGGTTTCATTTCTCCCATATATTGTAGTTTTTCTAGTGTAAACAAATGTATGTATTGTAAAACGCAGTTTTACTTATTTGTGTTTGAAATGTGCTCTCCTTTCCTTTTAGCCAAAGCATATAGGTGGTGTAGTTACTGAAAAGATCTGATTTTTACAAGCATAAAGAATTATGCAGCCTTGGGAACTCTCTGGAGTGTTCCCCGTCTTCCCTCAGCACTGTGAATTATCTGGCATTGTGAACTTGTACACTTCAGGATACGTTGTCCAAAGTAGTCAGATGCTTTCTACCAAGTGAAATGTATAATTTATTTGTCCTTTTACAGCAAGGTAGAAAATGCAGCTTTTGAGGACACCTGGAGAATCGTTGTTGCTTTCTTTCCTTATTTTTAATTCCCTCATGAGGTAGTTACAGTATTTCTTCCTTCTAAGAGGTTTAACTTGCAAAGTTCTGTTGCAAGCAAGGTGATGCTTTTGCTTCTTATGATGGAAAGTCTGATTTAGCGATGAGGTAGAGAACCAGGTCTTACTAAGAAGTTACTTCAGCTGACAGTGACAGAGGAAGGACTAGGCTGCCAAACTGAAGCTTAAGACAGTTTTGCAAGCAACTGGTGTTAATTATTTTTGCGATAAGGACAGAGCTGGCAGCTGCCAAGGTATCACCAGCTGCTGGCCTCAGCCAGCCCTCAGCGTTAGCCCCTGTGGCCTCATGCCCCTGTGAATGGTTCTGCAAAGCATGGTAGGGCCTCAGAGTATAGTTGAAGTCTTTATTAAAATTGTCAGTGGAGGCTTCCATTTGCAAATGGGATAACTGAAATAAAAGCAATAAAACTTTGGGAAAAATATTTCAGGGGAAGCATTACTGGACTACTTGCAGGTCTTTGCTTAGGAGCTGGCAAGAGGGCAGCAGCAGCGCTCTGCTGTAGGTACTTCCTTCTTGCGTATATGATGTGGTCCTCCTTTATAGTGAGTCACAGGATACAAATGACCCGTGAAGAAAAAACATTTCTGTGGGCCTAAAAATACAGGATTTGCAAACTCTTATCTTTGAGTTACTGCCACTAGGTGTATGCTACTAAGCCATTAATTTTGTTGGACAAGTACATTCAGTGGAGGGAGTAAAACAGACACATAAACTGTGGCTACCTGGGAATGGCAGGTAAGTGTATCAAGTAACTGTTGGATAGAGCTGTCCTGAGGAGTCTTGTTGCCTTGAATCAGAGTTTACATTGGCAGCATTTAGGTGGAAAGGCAGTATCAGAGTGCTGTGGTTTAGACCCCTGCTTTGGTGTAATGCTCATTTTATGAGCTGTTGTCTATTCCCCGCCCCCCC